ATATCCTGGCTCCAATGTAGATCTTCATACAATGATCCGACAGGATCACTCCTGTAAAGTGACCTGAATACTACCTATAACGTTTTCAGCTGCGATGAGGCAACTTAAAAAAATATAGCTCAATAGCAAAGAACGAGAAATAAACATGGCGGATTGGTTGAAGCCTCACCATTACATACATCTAAAGCAACTAAGGGATGCAAAAGACTTCTTCGTTATGGAGTAGCAACTTGAAACTTGAAACCACGTCCAACAAAACGATGTTCTTACGACAAATCACGGTTCAACAACGAATAAACTACGGTAGAACTACAAGTTTTATCAATCTTGTCGAAGTCATGACCACTCAGGTATCTTTTGAGCAGCATCGAAACGATCGTGAAGGTTGCCGAATTTGATCGGCAAAGGCCGATCAGTCAGGGTTAGCCTACGATTCATCAAGTTTCAACACGATCATCTCTATATTCTTCCATGATGAAGAACCTTAAGACCGCCGAACATTAACTGGCAAAATTGGAAATATGCAGCTTACGTCATTTTCATCTGTTACAGTCAAAACATTTAATGATAGACAATGAAATAGGCGGGTACAATTCAGCACGGACGTCTGCGAAAACATTGGATTGAAATTGCAATTCGAAATTCATTTTCAATCCACCTCAGCTACGCTAGAGCGCACGGTGTTACTGATTGACACAGAAGACAAATAATTTGAAATATATATAAATCAGAATTTTCTATCCCATGTTTTTAAAGAAATATAAAGGGACAGATATTTGATTTCTGTTTGGTATGTGTGTGTTCGGTGGTTGGGCGGTTGGAGGGAGGGGGGGCTGAACGATCTCGGAAATGAAATGAATAAGAACGTTTTACGGTATTTTAGTTTGGACAACCCCTCCCTGTTTTTGTTTGTCAAACATTTTTCAGAGAAGAAAAAACTAAAAAAAAAATAAAAGCTCTTGTCGTCCTAGAAATTAATATATTCTTCCTGTGAAGGCATGATCTGACTCGACAATTTTTGACACCCCCCTTTCTAGAATCAAATGGCCATCACCTGAAAAAATAATCTCTGTATTCTAGGACTTTGACGTGTCCTTAAAATTATAGGCTAAAAAACTCATATAAATATAAATTTCAAACAATATGTATTTGGGAATTGAATTTATTTGTCTTTTGAATCATACATTCACACTTTAGGTTTGAAAACAGCTCAGATGGATTGAAATTGAATTTCATATTTTTTTCAGTGAAGAAGAAAATAAATAATGTCTTTTGTCATCCTACAAATATTTAATATATTCTTTCATGTGAGACATAACCATAAATAATCTGATTCGACAAAATTTGCCAGCCCCCCCTCCCAACTTCTAGAATCAAATGGTCTTCCCCTAAAAGAATATACATATAGCTATATCTCCTATAACTTTTGTTTGTCCTCAAAATAAAAAAAATTGTTATACATTAATTTCAAACTATACGCATTTGGGAACTGAAATTATTTGTTGTTTCGATCATACATTATAACTTTGCGAAAAATAGCTCAGGTGGATTGAAAATGAATTTCGAATTGCAATTTCAATCCAATGTTTTCGCAGACGTCCGTGCCGAATTGTACCCGCCCATTTCATTGTCTATCATCAAGTGTTTGACTGCGACAGATGGAAATGACGTAAGCTGCATATTTCCAATTTTGCCAGTTAATGTTCCGCGGTCTTAGGCCAAATCGTGATTAGTCGCGAAGCCAAATTGGGACAGTTTGAATGGGGCTTAAACCTACAAAAAGGAGGCGGGGTCTACTTTATAGGGGAAAATTTTACTATGACATCACATGAACATAAAAATTATTCAAAATACTACAAAATGATATGCAATTTTAAACAATTAAACTGCATCAAAACTCACTATTGCTTGCAAATCATCCGACACAATGAGGTATACATGTCAATTTGACGTCATATAGTAAAATTGACTCAGTTTGTATGCAGTGAGAGACGCATCAAACCATATTTTCACAATACAAACGTATTTTGTAATAAAATGAAATATTGCTGAAATATATTTAAGATGCCATAAACTTGAATGCAGTGCCTTTTTATGATTTCATTCATATATTTTCCATAGTGCAATCGCCCTAAATCTTTAGATGAACCTTAAGTGATTGTACTTTATTCCTTGAAAGGCGCCATGCTACTGTATAAGTGTGTACGGAAGTCAGTATGAAACGGGATAAAACGTGATATTTATTTACACGATTCCATCAAACCGTATGTGTGCCTAGAATGATTGTAGCTTCACAGTAAGAGTAGTTAACCACACCCCAGTTTACCCGATTTATTAGACGTCACATAGTCGTGGATGATTTTGGTTTGTATCTAGAATGTGTTACTGGGACTTGACAGTGCTGCAAAGTTGTCTACCAAACCACTGCGTCATTTAGACATCTACATCCAATGACCTTAGTCACTCACCTGTCCCATGGCCACACACTGGCTTTTTATACTTCTCCTAACTCATTCTTACTCAATATGTTTAATTTAATATTAGCCACTCCTACAAACGTTATGATAACCGAATAAGAAGAGCAAGAAATAGTTCAGAGGTTATAGATGCGACTCCATTGTTAAAGTATAATCCAGAATTTTATTGGTATATATGTCTATTAGGAGTGTATAATAAATAAATCTACACAAACGCCCTGCGAAGAAAATTTTGCTTACGTACCCATTTAAGGTTAAATCTGACAGGATTTGCCAGTTTCGTGTGCTGATTAATGTAATATTTTATAAAATCAGACTTATGCAGTTATTACAATAAAGGGTAATTTTTCGTAGTCATCTAGACGAATAAAAAAGAAACACGATCGGATTTTTGAATTGCATTGCTATATTTGTAATCATTAGAACACTTGTTTATTTTTTTTTCTTTGTACTTAATGAATTTGCATAAAAATAAGAACGGTCAGACAGATTTTCTTTCATTTTTTTTATTGCACTATTCAAATGACACATTACCTAGTAAGGATAAACTTTTTTCACTAGACGAAAGGTAACTTTTTATGCAAATTTAATCTTTTGTAAACCTGAAATCAAGTAATAGATACAATTTACTTCTTAAGAAAGATAGGATATTTCGCAATACATTTTTCTTCTTTTTTTCCCGCGCGTGTGGCCTTTAGTACTCAAAAAAGTAATGTATGAGTACTTAGCTTTAAAGATCATACAATTCTAGAAAAAAGTTCATGCTAGTCTTTCTCTGACTTTTATTAAAGTTTTTGATTACATATGTATATGAAAGGTTTTAATGTCATCATAAATGAATTATGTTGGTTTTTATCGCCCATTTTCAGATATCATCGCGGGAATCCCGAAACGATAAAGGAATTAATACACCATTAGGCATATGGCAATAAAAAGATAAAAAAGTACAAACTTATTATTCAACACCAGGATAAAGTTCTTAGATTACTCGGTAAAATTTCCATCTTGAATCAATTGCTGAAAATGCATTTTTTTTTTCGTACACAACATACCAATGAATTTTACATGTATTTATAATTCTCTTCATTTTTTTTAAAAATATACTAAATGGAAAGTATGAAGACAAACAAAAAAAATCAATTGCTATTAGAATGAAACATAAAAAAATGTCCTTGTAAAAAAAGAAGGAGTGACTGAATACTATAACAAACTGACAGGGCTTTCAGAGATTTCATTGTTCATGCTTTTTAATGGATATCACATGGAAGAATTGTTAACAAATATTGACCATTGTATCTATGGTAATAAATATGAAAAATATAATTCTGTGTCTCCAGAGAAAATCTGTACATGTATTGATATTTCAACGTATGTTATTGTATTTTTACTGTATTCTTTTTAAAGAGATAAACATGCGTACACAATGTTAAATGTTTGAGATTAAGAAACAAAATAATGTGTGAAATAAAGAAACAAACTATTTCGATATAATTTTCAAAAGGGAATGAGATGAATTAAATGAATAATGATAGATTTGCAAAACGATAATTTCGGATTTAGATTAAGTTGCGCTATGAATATAAGGAAGTTAAATTCGATATCCACATCTAACAGACGTACAAAGGTTACTATTAAATACGTGGGGTATACGAAATATATGGAGTGCCAAACGTTGCAATCTTCCATCCTTTCCATTCGTACGGTATGATTTTCTAATTGTTTTTATACTTAGACATTTGAACTCTCATTTTTTTTTATTTGTATTATATTGTCATAGTTATTCGAATGTGTGCATTTTATGTGTGCATTACATTTGTCTTAATTTTTATATAAATTTAGATATTCATTTTAATTCGTACATTGATTCAACATATCCCATTGAATACGAACCAAAAGACGTCACATAGTCTTACACATCTCTTTTGTATTTAGATCATTTACTAGAGAAAGACAATGATGGCAAATCAACAAGTAAACATTATGATCTATTTGATAACTTCAACCTTTCTATTGTCAGCTTCCCTTATCTATGTAGCAGTACACCATTATCACCTGAATATAACGTTGTTTGGATATGCAAGAACATGTCCTACGTAGAACAATTTCTAAACCAAGGCAGATTTATGCCAAATAAATTGATGATACAAGGGTATCAACAATCTCGTTTAAAGTAAATATTGTCATTCTATGGCGGATGCAATGACCTTGGTAGCAAATACAATCTATCGTTAGGTCGCATACAAGTTGTCAGGTCATTATTTCCATACTGAATTGTCTACGGACTGTCTGTTTACCCGATCATGACAAGAAGCTCATGTAACTTGTCAACAGAACTCCTCCATGACACCTTCTCCCACCTTATCTTTTCAGTAGGCACTACATGAAACACATTGTAAGTATTTGTTTAAATATTTATTCAATATTATACTTTTGGGAACTACTCAGCCATATTATATTCAAAATGTGAAGCAAGACTACAGAACACATGATTATAAATACTTGTAAAAAATTACAGACATAAAATAGGTTTTATTAGATTTTTATTCATCCTTAGTAAAGTCATTACAAGATTAAGACAGTATATTTGTACAAACATTCTGCATCTCAAAACGCGAGAAGAAAATATTAACAATGACTGTTTTTATGAGTGTAGTTTTTATGTAAACAAAAAAAGTATCTGGATTTCAAAGACAAGTAAAAGTAGATTTAAGTTTGTATAAACTTTGGGCGGCAAGCAAATACAGCGACCTGAAATAGAAATAAAAATCGGAAATTAAATCAGGGAAAATCATTAAGAAAAAAAAAACACAACAAATTGACTGCAAAAATCAGAGTGCATGTCATTACTTGCTAAAATGATTTGTAATGCTTGAGAATTAAAATCCAAAGAAAAAAAAACTGTGGATATGCATGGTGAGTTTATATATTTTGTGAATTATTCCACAAGTTTTTGACATAAATATAAATTACAAACAGAAATAATGTTTATAAATGATTCATTAACACGTTTTTAGAATGAGCTTGAAAGTTATAGAACGTCAGAAAATATTTTCGATTATTGTCTAATTAAGTCTGATTTTGAACTTACTTCATCAATAAAACCCTTGAAGTTCTTGAATCCTTTACTTTTTCCTATAAATAGGTTTTCATTTTTGTCCTGGATAGGTCCTAAAAAGGATAAAGAATAAACCATTTATTAAAGGAGAAACATCATCATCCGTATAAAGAACGACCATTACAGAACAAGAGAAATATTTAAGTAAATTAATGGAAAAAGTAACTCTCATTAAACACATCAAAGAAATACAGGCAAAAGTAACCTTCCCAGCATAAACAAAACCATGGGGAAAGTATCAAATAATCCCACGAAAAAAGCTACCAATTCATTACGATATTCAATGCCAGAATACATCAGCGTCATTATAAGAAGAGCATCCACGAAACATATAGCAACAACAAGAAAAACACAATATTCATGAGTTATATCGTTTTAGAAGGTAAGGCTTGAATTTATTTGTAAGAAATATTGAATAATCACATATTTACCTAAAGCCCACGAGCCCAGTACTTTCTCGTTTACAGACAGGACCAGCTTGTTTTCATCGTGCATTAGTTTCACAGTATTCCAGTTTTCTGGCTAAAAATGAGCATAATTTTCCATTAAACAATTATATACCTTAGAAAAAATTAGACTTTCAAAATAATTTGCTTTATTCAATTTTCATGTTTTTCTACCTACGTTCAATTTTGTGTGAAGTGTAGATATTCCATTGTCATCCCTTTTGATCATCGTGTGTACATTACTAGGGCTATTTAGAATGAGGAGACTTGGTTGCACTGATTGTATGCTGTTGCTAACGATGGCTCTTAGACGACTTTCATTCCCTGTTTCCAAGAATCTGACTGCAATAGTTACTTCAGTCTCCTTGCTAAAGTCTAGGAATTTCTTTATTTCTAGGTAACTATTGCCATCAAATTTCGCCATTCCGTTGGATGTTAATTCTACACCGTGATTAATTACTTCTCTCTTATTACCCGAATAATCTCGGAAATTTCCGTTAAAAGGCAAGTATAGCTCAGGTTTACATACTGAAAATCAAAAATAAATACTGTCACAAACTCTCTTCATCCCCGTATGCCAAACTACCCAAAGAATACTATCTTCAGTTCTTAGTTTTCCCCACTTAGTTGTTCCTACCTGCAGCATATCCTTTGTGATAAACACAACCACATTCTAACGCGCTGTACTGGGTATTCTCAGGACATGTCATGTTGTGCCATTTAACGCCCTCTACATATTGTTGATAGCGAGAGCGATCGCCGAAAATCGGACGGCTATCGCAAGGTCCCTGGTGAAATGAGTCCCCAGGACAAGGGTCTGTACAGGTTGGATCTCTAACACATCCCTGATACTTCTTGTATCTTTGTCCTTCTGGACAGCAATCTCCGACAGACTTCTGAAGATTGCATTTCCAGTAGGTTCGGCAGTTTCCGGAATCCATTGGATGCGAATTCAGTTGTCGTAGACTGCATTTATCTATTGCAAATTTCAGATTTATTTTTAAATAAAAATTTTTATATTGTTTAGAATTTACTTATATATTGTGTTATAAAAGTAAATTCTTAAAGCTAAACAACATGCAAGCACGATCTATTTGATATTTTATTTTGGTTTTACAAAAAAAGAAAAGTTGCTTTTTCAGATACCCATTCAACATTATAACTCATATTTCCCCAAAAATGACTTTTTTTAGAGTCTACCCGAAAATTTTTAACGTAAATGTACTCTCAGTTTTGCTTACATGGACTCTATGATAGGTTAACAGATAGAATCCATTTTATTTTAACTAAACGAAAAAGAGAACATTTCGTCACTTATGTGCATTATAAACTAGTTTTCATTTCATAAGTCTTATTTAACACGGTATGATATACAGTAAATACATTCATTTGTCTGTGATTTTTAAAATGGCAGCTTTCGTTACCTGTTTTGCATTGCACTTCACTTGCAGTCCTACACGTGGGTACGTCCTGGTCCCAAAACTGACCAAACGGACATTGGCGGGGGACAGTAAGCTTTTCTTGTAATTTCTCTCCCTGATAACACTGGTAAAACTTGTCACAGTCTGAATCGTGGTTTTTATAACCTACTCCATCTATAATCCGTGCTCCTTTACACACATCTAACAAATTAAAAAAAAATACTGAAGAAATGTCTATGCAATGGATAAAAAACAAGAATATGTACAAAAAGATAGGTGTAGAATTTACAGAGTACATATATACATTCTTTAGTTTTGAATTATTCTATTTGATTTATGAAATGAGGAAAGAATTAAAGTAAAGGATACGAACATACCTTCGATGGGTTTAAGATTCTCCTCCGCTTGTGGTCCTGCTGCAAATGCAGCTAAAGTAGTCCCTATGACAGAGATCAGACAAACAGTCGAAACACTAATTAACCTCATTTCCCTGCAGAATCTCTACAAAAGAAAAAATTAAGTACTATCACTTCAGCATAGGTTTCTTTAAGTATATGACTTATCTTGATGTTGAGTGAACGTACGTGTGGGAGTTCTTTGCTCTGTGTTACAACTAACTTGCAATACTAAATTAAGGGGAATGGATATACCTACTGTTTCGTTAATCAAGTTTACAAATGAAGTAAAAGCAGACTAAAGTAGATGGCAACGATACTGCTAAGAGAATAACTTATGGTCAATATGATCAATCTGATAATGACGGTTAGGCTACATAGATTTTACAATTCTTCTTTGTCATATTATAAATATGCGTCAATATGTCAGAACATTTTGACACCGGTAACAAATGAAAACAACACGTGCGACTGATTTTTTGAGTAATCTTATCAATGATGAAATGAAAAGAAAATACCTTATTATCGAGAATAAACACATTAACAAGTAAATTCTTATTTAGACCCAATTTTCTTTCAGAGAGAGAGAGAGAGAGAGAGATTTGAAAAATCGTTTAATGCTTTGAAGACACTAGCTTTACTTTGCATAAGATTAATGGAAACAAAAAATACGTAATTTTATTTGTCCGAATGGAAAAAAAACCTTACTTAAGGTTTGCCGACACGTTCCTCGAACATCTCTTTTTTATCTCTTCGAAATTTACAACAAATTAATCATAATTCTTCTTCTTATTATATAATCAATCTTGTGGTTTCTAAGCTGTTTTCAAAATTTTATTAAAATTAAATACATAAAAAATTGTGATATTGGCAATGTTAGTGATTTCCTATAGGATCACATAAGAAACCATCCTTGGTATCTTGCACGAATGCCTGGTAAGGTACCCCAATTTTTTGTTAGGAACTTAAAATAGCAATAATTCAATGACAAATTTTTGGGAGATTTTCTATATTTTTGAGGAACGTGTCATCTGACTTTAATCAAAAGAAAAGTAAAAAAGGAAGGAAAGAGAAACAACTAACTAGAGTTATACTACTTACCTAGGTAGTGTTTTCATCAAATAGTGAAGTTCATAAAAGTCTGCCGCATTATAATAAGTTTGAAGTTTGATTTGATGACTAATTTACGCAAAATACGCATGAAACTTAATGAATTACCTGGTTTGTTATTTTCCTCTGACGCCAAGTTGCACCTTACTATTTAGACAAAATTTCACGAATGAGGTGATATGCTAATCCTAAATTCCTACGCCTAATTATTTATCACGTTCATTAATTTAAAAGGTCGAGTAAAAATATATTACCTATCGTGAAAAACAAATTCTTAATTAATGTGCATTTCCTAAGAATCTACGTGCAAGGTGAAGCGAGGAAGAGACTGGTTAGTACTTAACTGTCTGAAACAATGCGTCTTTGAACGGTTTCATGAGTATTTTAAAGATCCGCAAAGCAGTCATTCACGCAATTTATTTATTGACATCATTCGGTTATAGTGCGCAAGCAAAGGACAGTGGTAAGAAAAACATTCACCCCTTTTATATGCAAAACAGGATTTTAATTTTTATTTAGAAGGGAAACAGAACTAAAGTAAGTATCATTACATGGTATGCAAAAAACAAAGGTTTGAATACTTTATTAAAATATATTAGTAGATTACATTTTATTAAGCTTCTAAGGAGGTCCAAGAATAATCTTTCAATATATTTGATTTTTTGAGGGAAAAAAAAGAAGAAAAATAAATGATTAGATTTTTATTTTATTTTCTGACTTACTGAGTAAAATCAATTATAATTTCTTATATTGCATCTTGATAATAAATAAAAAATGAATGAACGAATGAATTTAAAAAATGCATTGATTACAAAAGGAATGCTTGATTACATGATTTAAGTAGGAATTTCCAAAAAAAAAATATTGGATATATTTAATGATTCCCCCGGGACTAAGTACTGGTTCATACGTCTGTTCCATCTGTCTCAAGACTAATCACCACGATGTGTCTTTATGGAATTGACTAACGATACATATGACATATATGGATGTCTTGTATGTTACTCAGAAAAATACATGGTCATGTGACATCATACATTAGCATCATCACCTCTAAGTTGCTTTTTTAACATTTTAAGTTTGTTACACGAATGAAGAGTTGAAAGATTAGGGAAACGAATAAGGTATTTTCAAGAATGTTTTTTACAATATTTCATTAATTAAGTATATGTAAAATATAAATATTTAAAAAAATGAAATTTCTATAAGTCTTTTTTGGATGATTTCTTTTGAAATAAGTTTCTTGTTTTCAAATCTAAATAAGTATATCTGCATGATCCCCATCTAGGCAAAGAATTGTAATAAATGTATTTAAACACCTTATTTTCTAATATTTTAGAACAAGCTTATTGCTCATCTTTATTCGATAATCGCTTTTTTTGTACAATTGCCATTTTAAAAAAAAATCTTTGCAAATAATATTGCATGAATCTTCTCTTAAAAAAATTAATTACATTGAAAAACAATGGATTTCAAATTTCAAAACCTAATCTGGTCCTAACTGCATTCAATTGTATAACAATAACCCAAGCTGCTCCTAACTATCTATACTTTGGAACCAATTTCCTAGAGATAAAGAAAGAAATTGAAAAGTCATATTGAGGAAGGGAATTTAATCTTTGTAATTTTGTTTCAGATCCTCACAGTGGATAATGAAAAAAATAAAAGAGCTACTATGTATCATCGCAATTTATGTTTATCAAGTCAGAAGTGTGGACGAGAGAGGTAAATGAAATAATCTTAGAAGTCATTATTCAACATATTGAATAATGGCTTTTTTATTCTAATATTGCATTTTGTTGCAAATACATCGACTTTAAAAGTGCACATAATATAAATGTTGTAGATTTTATGCTGTAAACTCATGATTTATGGCTGAATAATTAGTAAAGTTCAAATAAACTGTTTGTTTTACATTTGACCTAAGTATTACATTTATCAAAATAATATTATTCCTTTAAGAGATCTATTAACTTGATCTCAATGTATATGAAGGAGACACGTCATGTTGAATTTTAAAACAATTATTTTCAGGATGCAAAGGGTTAATGGAGTTAGTTGTCATCATAGACGGTTCGGACAGTATCAATAAACCCGATTATGATTCTTTAAAAGTCTCCATGACGACATTAGTGCAAAAATTAGACATTCAAGAAACTGAAATCCGGATATCGTTTATTGTCTTCAGTTCGGACATTGCATTGGAGACGCCCATGATGGGGGACAAACAGCAGGCGACAAATACCGCCGCTACATTACCTCATCCCAGGGATGGGACGAAAACATGGTTGGCTCTGGAGGCAATGGCGTAGGTTCCCCCAACATATACCCAGAATATTCATAGTTTTAATTTGTTTCCCCTAAAATGTTTTTGGATGTCTAATCAATTAAAAGGGTTATGTAAGAAACAAACTGAAAAGAAGCAATTAAGTGTTCCTAAATATGTATCTAAAGTATACAGTATCCTTGCAAGACAGACATGGTGGAAAAGATCGCAAGAAGATAAATCATACAAATACCATACAGTAGAAAACATTTCAATTGATGAGAAATTTTAATTTGAAGTTTTTAAATCAAAAAATTTGCGAATGCAAAAAGGGGGGAAATAAAAACAAACTTAACAAAGAGATGCTCTTTTTCCAGACGAGTTATAGATAGTAGTCGCATCGGAGATCGCGCAGATGTGCCTGTAGTGGGAGTGGTGCTCACTGACGGAATATCAAAAGATGAAGCAAAAACTAGGAGAGCTGCAAAAGCTTTGAAAGACAGAGGAGTGACAATGTACGCTATTGGTGTTACAGACATCAAAAATAAGAAAGAACTGAATGATATAGCTTCAGGGAGTGAAAAAGTCATCACTTTCCAATCTTTTTCCGAGTTAGCTGAGAAATTGGAATCTCTTGTGAAACTTGTCTGTCCTAGTAAGTTCTTTTTTCCCCTAAATTTCTTTTTTTTTCTTTCCTCGATATATTTCTACAAATAGCTTATCAAAAATAAATGATGACAAACTCGTCTTGAAAACAACTGCTGAGTCAGCAATGGCCAATTAGTCTTTTTCCATGACCTCATTAAATGTGAAACTCTTATTGGAAATCCCTTGTTTAATCACTTAATTTAATTAAACCTTATCTAATTTAATCTGATGATAATCAGGTTTTCCTCGTTTTGACTTAATACATGTACTTGTTTTGTAGAATGTCCCCCAAATCCTCTTCTTCCACACTCAGACACTCCACAAGGAGATTATATAGTAGACACAGTGCTGGAGTATCATTGTATGCCGGACTATGTTCCAGTGGGAAATAACACGATCTTATGTCAAAGGGACCTTACATGGACAAAACTTGACTATGCCTGCAAATGTAAGTATTCTTGATCTATCATAAAGGCATAAATCTCACCATTCGACGACCGTTCGTCGAAAAGTTTTTTAAGCGCATTTCACTTTCACTTCGTAAATTTGTCATAGATGATCACACAAAATTGCAAACAAAACAATACCAATTATGGATTCTTTTATTTAAAATTGAAACTCTAACATCTCTGAAGAATAATAGTCTTAAAGAGTTTGTTAACACAGGTTGTTTTAAATTGACTTTGTCTGGTAATCTTTTCAGCCGACTGTGGTACTCCTCCCGTTCTTGAACATACCATATTGGATATGCCTGGCAGACTTGAGGGATCTAAGACAAGATATCAATGTACCAGAGGATCTGTTTTAGAAGGGACACCAGAAACTGTCTGTCAGGAAAATGGGCAGTGGTCCAGACCAACCTTCAAATGTCGAGGTGAACATATTCTCATTCTGATTAAAAGAACACGAGAAGTCCAACGGAATGATGAAAAAATAGCGCAAAAAATGAAATAGAAGTGAACGTCAAAATACAATTTCACTTATGGTTGAGTTGTTGATTTTCTTGAAAAGAAAGTAAAATTTGTGAAGGCAACCTCTGATTACATGTCTACATTACATTTCAGCCGACTGTGGATTGCCAAATATCATAAAACACGCTACACTGAGTGACGGAGGTCAACTAGAGGGTGACAAAAGAACATATACATGTGACGCAACAACCACAGTACAAGAAGGAAACCCAACCATAGTGTGTCAACACAATGGAAAATGGTCCGTGACGGACATTTACTGTAGACGTAAGTGCCCTTATGCAATGTAGATTGTAGGTGGATGAGCCAATGTCTGATTGCTTTCAAGATATTAATCGTGCACACAAGGCACCGCTAGATGTTGTTGTAGATACTGCCTCTTAATACAATATATTGCTCACTGATAACATAACACTTTAAGACATTTGTCACTATGCCTCTGTTTAAATAATAAAGGAATAAAGTTTTATGTATATTGATATGACATTTAACTCATTTGACATTTTACAGCTAATTGTGGTTATCCACCCAAAATCGAGCGAGCTACTATATCTGCTGGTGGATTATTAGAAGGCGCCACGCGCACGTATACCTGTAATGTAGGAACAGTCACAGAGGGCAACACAATGATTACATGTGGTCCTGACGGAAAATGGTCTACCACGAACCTTTACTGTAGACGTCAGTATCAATATAATTATTTACTCTATATACTCGCCTAGAAGTCGGTTTGTTTGGGAGTCAAATTTTGGTCCAAAACACTATGTCCGACTTATAGGCGAGTCCTAAAAAGGATTGGTATTTTTCTGGACGGCGAAATGTAGTATTTATTTTTTTTTTTAAAAATACAACCGACTTATTATCGGACCGACTTATACGCGAGTATATACGGACTAGTTTTTCGTTTTGAATTTTCAGATCAGAGTAAATGTTGAGGAGAAGATAATGAATTGTAGAAATAAAACAACATTTCCCAATTCAAATGAAGAAGCTTTATGAAATTTACTATTAGATATTTTTTGTTCTTAAAATAGCTGACTGTGGGCCACCACCCAAAGTAGAGCGTGCAGTTATAAAAGAACACAACGTGGTTATAGAAGGCGTCAGGCTTCCTGGTACACTGGAGGGGGTGACGAGGTTTTACCAATGTCAACCAAATACTGTGGCCGAAGGTCTGACTAGTACTACATGTCAGTTGAACGGACAATGGACGGTCACCAATCTTTATTGTCGACGTGAGTGAAAGTATTCCTTAATTGTTATAACCAGGTTTTTGATTGCTGAAAAATGCGATTTTATTATCTGCAATTTATATAAGCATGATTAAAGTCTGTTTCGAAAATATATTGATTCCACAATTCGAAAGTGAGAATGATGTTTTGTTACTATTTTCTACGAGACAGCTGCTTTCTTCCTCTCGATCTCTCCCCCCCCCCCCTCCCCCCAAAAAAACTTAAATTGGAAAATATAATATATTAATAAAGAGATGTTCGTTCCAACAAGTCAAACAATTGGAAGGATTACAATTCTAATCTTATTAATAATATATTATTTTCGTTAAAGCTAACTGTGGCAATCCCCCAACGATCGAGAGAAGCACAGTGACTTTTGAGGGGACACTGGAGGGCCATACCGCCACCTATACATGCACACAAAATACTCACACAGAGGGTTCCACAAATATCGTCTGCCAAATAGATGGAACCTGGTCATCAACAAATCTTTTCTGCAGACGTAAGACTACTTTGCAAACGACAATCAACAAAAGTGTGAATTTCCCTCAAATAAAATATCGTAAATTACAGTATTTTAACTTGTTAAAAAAGGCACTTGTTACAATTAAATATTATGCATCTTTTTTTTATTTTCAGCCGATTGTGGGCCACCACCGGTAATCGAGCGATCCACAATTTCTCCTGGAGACAACAAGCAAGGAACAACAAGAACTTATACTTGTCTTAGCAATACTGTGATGGAAGGAGATCCAGCAATTACATGTGGAATGAATGGACTTTGGTCACAAACAAACCTGTATTGTCGTCGTGAGTATTCTTTATTTCCCATTACCAGATTTCCTTGCAAGTTTAAAATATTTGTAGATGGTAAACGCGGTTTGGGGTTCCAAATTGAATGTACCTACAGCCTGTTGATTTTAGTGTTGGAGTGAAACTTTATTTTCTGTATGTATATTTTCAAAAGCTGACTGTGGACCTCCACCAATGGTTAAGCGTGCCATAATCTTAGATTATAATAAGGTCATAGAAGGTGTAAGGCTACCTGGTACTCTAGAGGGAGTTACAAGATACTACGAATGTCAAGCAAATACCGTTGCAGAAGGACTGACCAGTACTACTTGTCAAGTGGATGGAAGATGGTCTGCCACAGGATTATATTGTCGACGTATGTCATAAATTTCTACTTCTTCTTTGTATTTCAAAAACGCGTCGCCATCCTAACAAATTTGAAAAAAAGGTCTTTGTAAGATTTTGGTTATACGATAAAGAACTCATATTTAAAGAAATCAAAGACCATTTCCTTCAATACTATTTTTGTTGTGGTTGTATTCCAAAATGTGATTTTTTTAATATGTGTTAAATATTTCCTGTAGCTAATTGTGGTAAACCCCCAGTTATTGAAAGAAGTACCGTGACCTATGTGGAAACATTGGAAGGACAAACAGCTACATACACATGTGCACAAAACACCAGAACAGAAGGCTCCACAACGATAACATGTCAAAACGATGGAACCTGGTCATCTACTACTCTTTATTGCAGACGTAAGTGAGCATATTTGGCCAGTCACGTGTGTATATGATATATAGTATCGATTGTCATCTGTAAGCATTGTAAAATATGACGAAACTGATTACCGTTTTATATTTTATTTCTTTCGTCTGTTATTTTTAAAGAAATACTTGCAAGTACTTTTAATGGATGAAGTACATTTCTGCTTTTCTGTTTAATGAAATTCCTGTTGACAGAGACATACGGTGATTTAACAATATTTTGTTTTAACACTTTCTAGCCAATTGTGGGCCACCACCAATGATACTCAGGGCCAAGATTTCCAAAGGCGACACTTATGAGGGAACAGTAAGAACATACACATGTATGAGAAACACTGTCATGGAGGGAACACCAACTATTACTTGTGGAATTGATGGGCAGTGGTCAAAGACAAATTTGTACTGCAGACGTAAGTATCACACATCTACCGCATATCGTAGGTTTTTGGGTAAATAAAGGGAACAAGGATGTAGTTCGATCTCCGCGTGCATGTATCTGCTGTGTCTGGAGTTGTGTGAGTCTTTGTTGATTTGGGGAGTACGTCTGATTGGAGAGTCTTCTAATTTTAAGGAAAAAGACGAAACTCATCAGACTCATCCTCGGATAGCTCGTCCTCAGAAGAAGACGAAGATTCCACAACTCCAAGACGCAGGCGTAGAAAGAAGTGCTGTCGTAGCTTTCTCAGTAAATGTTGTCGTAGAAAATGTATGAGGTCATCTAGGTGCGTGTCGAGGGTTAAGAGTACAGTCCAACCAATCACAAATGCTTACATTCCAGTGGAGGAAGATGAGGATATGACCTTCAAGATTGATACACAGTATCAAATCAATAATGCAATTGATCGTAAAGAAAGCGATGATGATGACAAATAATATATGGGTCTACAATACTGATAATCTTGTGGACAGTGAAAACAACTATTTCGTGTACCACAATGCTCTCTTACCTTGCGTTGTTTTATTTATGAGTTAAAAGTATTCTTTTCCCTCCTTGGTCAAATGTAACACTGTTAATTCAAACCTCAGTAGCTGTTGTATACGAGTATTTGCCTTGCAGTATTTATGTAATTTAGATACTTTTGAAGTGGAAAAAATTTCTTTCTCAATTTACTCAGGGCTTGTTGTCTGTTAGTATTAACTAAGTATTGTACATGTAACTCTATCTAAGTTATTTAATTTATAATCTTATCAGTTTTATTTTTTGGCTGAAATGGCACCCAATAGTATTCAAATATGGAGAATCATTGATGTTGTATTAAGTTTCCTTGTTTTATTTTGTTATTTCCTCTTTGTTATATAATCAGAATAAACTGCAAATGAATCTCCTGTCTTATTTTTAAATGCTAAAATATTAAAAATATCATCTCTAGAAAAAAAATGAAAATACGAATATCTTCATAATTGGTATTTCGTAAACCATAGAACATCTTTTTGATCAAATATTGTTTTTACTGGTGGACTGATGTTGTAGCGGACTGTGGCGAACCTATGAAGATAGAACGAGCAATCATTGACCGAGGGTCAACACTAGAGGGCGATGTCTGGACATACACATGTGACCAGAAAACCGTCACAGAAGGGGAAACTCAGATAGTTTGCTTAGAATCTGGATTCTGGTCGAATACAAGCCTATACTGTCGACGTAAGTGCCTTCACTTCTCTTCAGTTAACATTATATCATATGTTTTATCATGTATTTGAAAACATGCAAGGCAAATGAAAAGAAACACATAAAATTTGAAGCGCTTGATATTTGTTGTTTGAAGTAAGCATGGTATTGGAGATTAATCTAAGACACAGTTTAGTAAAAAATTTAAAACTTATATTTAAAAGAATATTGATAATTCTCTAACTCTCAAATACATTATTTTTAAAGATGAATTGACAAATATACTATGCAAATTTGTGGCCAAATTAGAAAAAATACATTGATCTTCAGTTTATTTGAATTTCATGCGTTTCAGCGGATTGTGGAGAACCTCCTTTGATAGATAGAGCAAATGTGGATGTGGGCAAGACTGTGGAGGGCATCATCAGAACGTACACTTGTCAGGGCAAAACTGTAACGGAGGGTTCCAGGAAGATCAGATGTGAAATCACCGGTCTCTGGTCAACGAGCAGCTTGTATTGTCGACGTAAGTATTCTTTAATTTATCAGTAATTTTATACATGTAAATTGATTTAACACGTAACGAATTTATATATGCTTCGAAACATATAACTAAACAGGTTTTATGTAAGCCTTTTGGGTAATATGTTTATGAAATCAGTTTTTAATCTATTGAATTACTTTTCAGCGGATTGTGGGCCACCTCCAGTGATCAAGAGATCAACAATTTCCGTTGGAAACAATTTACAAGGAACTATCAGAAGATACACTTGTGATCAGAACACAGTGACGGAGGGGGAGACTTCAACAGAATGCCAGATAGATGGAACCTGGTCCCAAATAAATCTCTACTGCAGACGTAAGTCGATCTAAATCTTAATTTAAACAATATTTTATTCACAGAAGTGAATGGGATTGGGCAGCTGACTCAGCCTATTTAAGCCCTCTCTCTCATCTAAAATTTACTTTATAGGAAAAAAAAATTGACCCCTAAATCTTCCGAAAGTTTAAATGAATTTTCCAATTTTAGCCGATTGTGGTGACCCATACCCAATTCCAAGAGCCGTCGTTAGTGGTGGTTCCAGTTTGGAGGGGTCAACCAGAACCTACACCTGTAATGAAAACACGCGAACAGAGGGAGACACCACAATAAGGTGTGAAGAAACCGGACTGTGGTCCCTGACTAACCTCTACTGCAGACGTAAGCTACATCTTTAAAAATACCATATTCATATAAATCATAGGAATCTAACAAAAGCAAGATTTTTTGGTCTTTATTGTTGATAAATTAAACCCGTAAATGTTCACAGCCAATTGTGGTGAACCTCGACCAATTCTACGTGCAACCATTAGTGCTGGAGGGACTCACGAAGGCGACAAGCGGAGGTATACTTGTAATCAACAAACAGTGACGGAGGGAAATACTGAAATCCACTGTCAACCTAACGGACAATGGTCCACCACCAATCTCTATTGCAGACGTGAGTTGATTCATAATAGGAATTATTTGTCTTGACTTCAGAATTCAGCAGTAATGAATTTTTTCTGAAATTTTTGATGAATGAAACCGGTTTAAAATGTGTTTTTTATTACTACTATTTTTCAAGTGTCAAGTTTGTCAAGGACAGTCAAATATTTAAAGTAATTTGTGTTAATGTATATATTTAGAATTTCAAATATAAAATATCAAATATATCATCTTCAGAAAAAATGAAAATACAAACATCTTGATAATTAGTATTTCGAAAAGCATACCGTAAATCTGGAAATTTTTACTGTAGATAATTTTTTAGCAAATTTGCGCGTGCTATGCATTCGCAAAAATATTTTTCTTAAAAATAAATCAACAACAAAAAATATAAATAAAAATTTTGCTGACAGCTGATGTCTTTTTTTTACCTTGTGAACAGGTGTTCGTAAGCAGTGGTCACTTTAAGAAACCTTTTTAAACTACAAACTAATTACCCGTGATAATTCATCTGATGGTTTGACAGGCTATATGTCTCTTTTAAATTATTTCTGCAAGAAAGAAATGCAAGTTGTTTTATCTAACAACGAATCCCTAGCATGACAGAATCTTACCGGAGAACTTATTATAATAAAACCCGACGAAAGAAAGGTGCATGTACATGCGATATTCATTGCACATGCATAACATATAAACTGTTATAAAAAAAATTTAAGCACTTTTTATTTTCAGCACCGATGACAATTCGCAAAATTTTAAAACGTAAAAATTAATCAACACCTTTTTGACCCAGATTCGCAAAAATAAATCGACGTAAAAATTTCCAGATTTACGGTAGAACATCCATTTGAACAAATTTGTTTTTACTGTTGGCCTGCTGTTGTAGCGGACTGTGGCGAACCTATGAAGATAGAACGAGCAATCATTGACCAAGGGTCAACACTAGAGGGCGATGTCCGGACATACACATGTGACCAGAAAACCGTCACAGAAGGGGAAACTCAGATAGTTTGCTTAGAATCTGGATTCTGGTCGAATACAAGCCTATACTGTCGACGTAAGTGCCTTCACTTCTCTTCAGTTAACATTATATCATATGTTTTATCATGTATTTGAAAACATGCAAGGCAAATGAAAAGAAACACATAAAATTTGAAGCGCTTGATATTTGTTGTTTGAAGTAAGCATGGTATTGGAGATTAATCTAAGACACAGTTTAGTAAAAAATTTATAACTTATATTTAAAAGAATATTGATAATTCTCTAACTCTCAAATACATTATTTTTAAAGATGAATTGACAAATATACTATGCAAATTTGTGGCCAAATTAGAAAAATACATTGATCTTCAGTTTATTTGAATTTCATGCGTTTCAGCGGATTGTGGAGAACCTCCTTTGATAGATAGAGCAAATGTGGATGTGGGCAAGACTGTGGAGGGCATCATCAGAACGTACACTTGTCAGGGCAAAACTGTAACGGAGGGTTCCAGGAAGATCAGATGTGAAATCACCGGTCTCTGGTCAACGAGCAGCTTGTATTGTCGACGTAAGTATTCTTTAATTTATCAGTAATTTTATACATGTAAATTGATTTAACACGTAACGATCGAATTTATATATGCTTCGAAACATATAACTAAACAGGTTTTATGTAAGCCTTTTGGGTAATATGTTTATGAAAGGCAGTTTTTAATCTATTGAATTACTTTTCAGCGGATTGTGGGCCACCTCCAGTGATCAAGAGATCAACAATTTCCGTTGGAAACAATTTACAAGGAACTATCAGAAGATACACTTGTGATCAGAACACAGTGACGGAGGGGGAGACTTCAACAGAATGCCAGATAGATGGAACCTGGTCCCAAATAAATCTCTACTGCAGACGTAAGTCGATCTGAATCTTAATTTAAACAATATTTTATTCACAGAAGTGAATGGGATTGGGCAGCTGACTCAGCCTATTTAAGCCCTCTCTCTCATCTAAAATTTACTTTATAGGAAAAAAAATTTGACCCCTAAATCTTCTAAAAGTTTAAATGAATTTTCAAATTTTAGCCGATTGTGGTGACCCATACCCAATTCCAAGATCCGTTATTAGTGGTGGTTCCAATTTGGAGGGATCAACGAGAACCTACACCTGTAATGAAAACACGCGAACAGAGGGAGACACCACAATAAGGTGTGAAGAAACCGGACTGTGGTCCCTGACTAACCTCTACTGCAGACGTAAGCTACATCTTTGAATATATCATATTCATATAAAACATAGGAATCTAACAAAAGCAAGATTTTTTGTCTTTATTGTTGATAAATATAAACCCGTTAATGTTCACAGCCAATTGTGGTGTACCTCAACCAATCCTGCGTGCAACCATTAGTGCTGGAGGGACCCACGAAGGCGACAAGCGGAGGTATACTTGTAATCAACAAACAGTGACGGAGGGAAATACTGAAATCCACTGTCAACCTAACGGACAATGGTCCACCACCAATCTCTATTGCAGGCGTGAGTTGATTTATAATAGGAATTATTTGTCATGACTGCAGAATTCAGCAGTAAGGCCATCATTAAAAATATCCTCGTTTCCCCTAACCCATTCCTAAAATCTCAAGTTGGGTAGGTAGGTAGGTAATTTTTTTTTCTGACAGCAGCTTTGAAAATACATTTTGAAATTTAATTGAATAATACCTTTATAAATAAGAAAAGTACAAAAGAAAGCAATTTGTAAACAGAATTTCATACAAACGCCGTTTAAAAGCAAAATATAAGGTAAATTAATTTACAACTATTGTTCGATTGAACTTATAAAATATTTGACGCCAGTGTAAATTTATTGAAATCGAATATTTCAAAGACAAGATTCGCAATTTTTCAAAGATTGGATACTTCAAATATTTACATGTTTACATGATATACATATTTACATGAATACATGTATTCAATATTTCAAAGATTGGATACGCAATTTAAGGACTGGAAATCTGAGTATATTTTTCAAAGCTACTATCAGGTTCCAGTGATTACTCATGCAATGTACATTATCAAGTGCTTTGAATTGTGCAGTGGTCTAGATTATTTCCTTTTGGAGTCCCGAAGTAAGGAACTAATTTAAATTCCAAGTGGTAGGTTCAAATCCGAATGCGGGACGTTGAGACCAGTCCTTCGAATGAGACTGTACAGACTTATGTCCAGTGTCGCAGTAGGCACGAAAAAGGTCTCTCATCATCAATGGCTAAAAGTGCCGAGTACAAGACTAAATATTGAGCCCTTCACCGGGCTAATGTTCAACAATTCTCAAAGAAATTTAAAGCAAAGAAACCAATCTTCAAGGCCCTTATTAAAGAAAAAATGCACTGGACGTCTCAACACGTCTCAAGTAGCTGTATCATGATTTCAAAACTATTTGGAAAGAGTAAGTAAATAATATTTAATGGAACAGAACCATATCTAAAAATGATAAAAATATCATACACAATGTCAAAGTCACGAAGTTTAACCCATGAATAAAAGGCATGAAAGAAAGAAACGTCTGAATTGTATTCATCAGTATTAAATGTGCAGACATATTGACAACAACTCCTATGGTCCCATATAGTACACATAGGAAGAGATGAAATGTTTATTAGATCAAAACTCAAATTAAATAAAATGCAGTGAAACTGATTGATGTGTTCACAAGGAAGGCGGGCCTTACCATGTATCGTGGATACTACGTACCTTAAAGGGTTTTTATCACGTCTCAAAATTTTTTAATATGACAAAGTTTACATGTTATTAAAATCATATATTTAAAAATTTTTGCTAAAAAATTAATATTTTTGATGTTTCAGCGATTCAAAGTTTGAATTTCTCAATATGCATATTTTGATCGCCGATGTTACGCGCCATTGCTCTGACGTCATAGGTGTCAATCCTGGTCAAGCGAAGTACTAATTGTGTATACAAAAGGGCTCATTTGTTGTGTCTCTTAAACCTGTTAGAAAATAATTAAGTGATAATTGGATAATTGACAGCTATAGTAAGCTATAATCTATGGCTTTAAGATGCACAAATGTGCACAAGAAAGGTTTTAGGAAATTGTATTTTTCCACATTTCCTGGACTTGGTCGAGAGATGAAAGGGGGGACTTTCTCTGCATATGCGATGGTGTTTATCTCCATTCAGAACAATCGTTAATGCCCGATCGATCACGATTTTTTTCTGTCCTATAAAATATTTTAAGGAAACAAACCTTTAAAGGAAATAATAAATGACAAACACGCATTTTTAAAAAGTCGCACAGAATCTAGTAGGAATGTTGTGAACTTCGGAATGGCGTATGGCGCCATTGAAGAAGTGTCATTTCTAATACATGATATTTACTGCTAGAACAGATAGAAGATATACAAGATTTATTTATATATAATTAATTAAAATAATAATAAAGGAGAATTTAAAATTCCCATATTTAAAAATGTTTACGAAGTTAAACATTATTAATTCGTTCTATTTAGTTGAAGTCCCGAGTTGTCAACGGCTTCGTCTTCGGAGACCCCTCTCCAATTGTTGGCATATTTTCTAGTTATTTCTCTTTGCTAGACGTTCATACATAAAAGATTGACCGTCCATAATCAAAGGAATATAGTCGATGTCAAAGTTTTAACCGGCCATATTGTGTATTCTATTTATTTAGCGTAAAAATCTATTCAATATATTTTTTCTTATGATAAGCTTTACGAGTTCTTTTGACCATTGACACCTATGACGTTTCAGTACCACGTGACCCCTATCTAATTAGTGGAGATTTTTACTTCGAGGACCCTATATTACGGGCGTTTTATCGTCTAATTTCGACCGTTTTTGACATTATTTCATAATTAAACGATTATTATATGTTTCAAGAATATAATAGTGTTTCATTTTTAAGAAATTTAGATACGTGATAAAAACCCTTTAATTTTAAAAGAGGTTAGTAAATACCAAAGAAACAATCGTGATTAGTCGTGATATATTTTATTAGCGAAATATTTGAAGAGTGTAGGATTATAATAACTAAAGGCATAGGATTGATACGTCGCCGTTATTTGTAACTCGAACTAACCCTCTTTGACCACGTGTTTTGGACGCCATTTTGTTTCCAACAAACGCTTGAAAATCAAAGTTAACAGAATCCGCCGTTCTGATAAAAACGGATTTTGATGAAATTGTATTTTCATTGATAAACATTAAAAAAAATACTGGAATTATCTTATTAAAAAAAACTTTTCAGTCGGCGCGATTTAATTGGGTCGGTCGCGTTAGTGGAAACAAAGGTATTTTTTATTTTGGCCTAATGAATTTTTTCTGAAATTTTTGATGAATGAAACCGGTATTAAATGTGTATTTTATTACTACTATTTTTCAAGTGTCAAGTTTGTCAAGGACAGTCAAATATTTAAAGTAATTTGGGTTAATGTATATATTCAGAATTTTTTATGAAATATGCAGCAAAGACATATTTCAAGAAAAAAAAATTGAAGAAATTTTAAGCGTGAAAGGGCCTTCTAGTTTAATAAACATAATAAGTTGCCAAAAACAATAACTACAATGATATACTTTTGAGCAGTAAAATGTGGCTTTGTTGTTTAAAAAGTTATGGAATTTTTTTTACGCTTTATAATTTATATTATAAAATTTTAATTTATATTAATATTGCCAGTGTATTTGGGTCTTTTTATTCAATATGTCCTCAGTACAACGAATATGTTCTGTTTTCCATGTCCTCTACAGCTGACTGCTTAGAGCCACCCATGATTGACCGAGCGACTATTACTGTGGGCAGAACGGTAGAAGGCACCACCCGAACATATACCTGTAATCCGGGGAGCCATACAGAGGGCACCACCACCATCACATGTCAACAAAGTGGAGCTTGGTCAGCAACGAACCTCTACTGCAGACGTAAGTGATTAATTTCTTTTGTTAATCCAATGTTTTAAAAATCTTTAGGTTTTAGTGTATACATTCTAAAGTTTGGCGAAAAAAAGCAAAACTCAAGCTAAACAAAGCTCTGTGAATTTCAGAGTTTCAATTTTTTGAATTACCCCTTTACAAAGAAATATATAATGCTGCCCTTTTTAATCAGCTGACTGTGGTAATCCACCAATTGTGGCCAGATCGAGTATTTCACTTGGCAACAACTTGGAAGGAACAACACGATATTACACATGCGCAGAAAACACTGTGGCAGAAGGGCTTACACAGACAACTTGTCAGATTGACGGAACGTGGACTGTTACAAACTTATACTGCAGACGTAAGTCTTACACTTTGATCAGTTAACTTACGTATTTACTAGGGAAAGTAAAATCAGATTAGAAATGGGAAAATATATCGTGGAATCTCCACCTTGATATTTTGCATTTAAACGTCGTACTTGTTTTATGCCATCTTAAGACATTCTTACATTTAGAAGGGGGTGTCACTTTCATAAGAGAGATAGCCTTAACTTTTTAAAGACCATATGAATTCATGTTCGGATTGAATTTTTTTGAGTATTTTACTCACGCTTGTAGTCTGATGTCAGTTTGAAATTTCTAATATACCAGTATTTGATATAGTAAATATATTTTATCTCAAAAATTCAGCAAACTGTGGAATTCCAATGAACATCCCTAGAGCAACTATATCCCCTGGAGACACACTGGAAGGAACAGTCAGAACATATACTTGCGCCCCGAACACAGTGACAGAGGGACCCACAGAAACTATATGTCAGTTAAGCGGACAGTGGTCTCTTACAGCAATGGATCTATACTGTAGACGTAAGAATAAACACATACCCAATAGTAAAAATTATCCGGTGCAAATCATACCTCTACATGTAACAAGAACCAAAATCGCCATTTAGTAGTGTAGTCATTTATGAAATATGATTTTAAAGTATATTTTTCTCATCCATTAGCTGACTGTGGTGAACCCGTGCCAATTGACCGCGCGACAATTGCCCCTGGAAGCAACCTAGAAGGTTCCACCCGTTTCTACAGCTGCGCATCCAATACCGTAGCGGAAGGGCAACTTAACATCGTTTGTCAGAAAGATGGAATGTGGTCAATGACTAACCTATATTGCAGACGTAAGGCTGAAACTATTTAATTATTTCAAATCTCTTATAAATGAAAAAAATCTTTTCAGAAGGTAAACATCTTTTCCTTACCTTTTCTAGCAAATTGTGGCATACCTGATACTATACTACGTGGTGGTCTTAAATATGACTCAACGTTGGAAGGTGCCATAGCCACTTATTCTTGTGCCTCAAACACTGTATTAGAGGGTGGTTCTACAATTGTTTGTCAGGGAAATGGACGCTGGTCAAATATAACTACATACTGTCGGCGTAAGTACTCTGTAGTCTAACTAAAAGAGCTTTGCCTACTTCAATTAAATGGTAAATAATACATGACATGGCTTTTTTACTACTTTGAAAAACTTTAGTTTTGCATATATTATATGCTAGTATATGCCCTATATTGAAAGTGTTTTAAAAGGCAAAACATTGTTATCAATTTTCATTTTGTCTTTCCAATTCATCAACGTCTTTATTGTCAGTTTTGTAAATGTGGACGTAATAATATATCATTAAAGCAAATTGTGGAGAACCCCCAGTGATACCTCGGGCTACTGTTTCTGTTGGATCCACACTGGAAGATGACACTAGGACATACACCTGTAACGCCGGAACGGTCGCAGAATCCGGACCGTCCGAAATTGTGTGTCAGAAAAATGGACTGTGGTCATCCACTGACTTGTATTGTAGGCGTACGTATCTTAGGTTAAATTGTAAATGCATGAATATTCAAATCGATTTACTATGATAAGCAAAAAAGGCAAATTCGATGCATAAAATTTTATATGTTCTATGGAAATAATTTGTTGTATCTTTCAAACTTGAAAATAGCCGACTGTGGTGCACCTCCAGTCATTCCTAGAGCCACAATATCACCTGGTAGTAACTTAGAAGAAAGTATAAGAGTGTACACATGTGATGCCAACACCTTGACACAGGGTATCATCAACATTAGATGTGATCGGAACGGACAATGGTCAACTACAGACTTATACTGCAGACGTAAGTACATATGTTTATTTTCAATCTTCTTATCTCAACAAAAAAGAGAACTAAATTAAAAGAAGATCGTACATTGACTAGTTTGTTAAGAAGTGCCAAAAATAATTTTAATAGTTTTGCATCTAAAGACTACCGGGTAGCTTCTTCTGTATATCATTTTTTCAAGAACTAAATATTAATTGAATAGAATCATTTTACTTCTAGCAATATGTGGAAGACCGCCATTGATAGAGAGGGCCTCCTTTTATGCTAATTCCACAGCCGAAGGAGGCGTTGCTTTGTATCAGTGTAGTAATTGGACGGTTACTGAGGGCTCAACATCGATCGTTTGTCAGAAGAATGGTCTATGGTCAGACACCGACTTGTACTGTAGACGTAAGATTTCAACAAACAAGTTAATGAGTGGATGATCAAAATAGATAAAAGAACCAAACACATAAAAACCGAACCGAACTATACATTTTTGTACTAATAGGAGGTTAAAAGCTGCTAGTAAATGTTCCTTGGAATCTTGTAATAATCGTTACAAACATTACAACCTGTACGAAGAAAATTCTGTAATTGTTATCACTTGTGTTTTACAGCAAACTGTGGTCCACCTCCCAAAATTCCTAGATCCACCGTACAACCAGGGGATACAACAGAGGGGACCTCCCGATTTTATGTGTGTGATAAATCTACTATAACTGAGGGAATCACCGAGACCAAATGTCTTAAAGACGGGACTTGGTCCAAAATAGACATGTATTGTAGACGTAAGTGTATAGGATACTTGTAGAATTTTGGGTTGGACTCATGTATTAACAAAACATAATAATAAATCTATTTAACCTGGACAAATTTCATTAAAAGTTTCTCAGTGTTTAATTTAAACATATTTTAATATTCGCATTTTCTTTGCTAATTTAGCTGACTGTGGCGCACCTGTTTCTGTGGAGAACTCTAAAACAATTTACCCCACCTCAACGGTAGAGGGCACAAGACTATTACTGGAGTGTGTAGAAGGAACTGTACCAGAAGGAAGCAATGAGGTGTTCTGTCAGAAAGATGGAACTTGGACGAAACCTACTCTGTACTGCAGACGTATGTTCTGAGATGATTTACACATCTGTACATACATGTATATTACCAGACTAAATCCCCCTAAATACTTGTCTTCAGTATAAATCCTCACAAACACTGTAATCAGAGAAAAGTGAATTTTCAAATGTATTTCTCTGTTTGAATCAAAATATTGTCTAGCATTTTATTGCAATCAAGAAAATTTGATTGTTTTTTGAAATCACGTTTTTATTTTTACATGTTTAACATATGTTGCTTTTTATACTTACAGCTGATTGCAAGAAACCACTGATGATACCTAGAGCAACAGCTCAGTACACTAGCACACTGGAGCAGGCCATGGTTGTGTATGTGTGTAATCCAGGAACTGTGAGCGAGGGAGAGAATACCATCGTCTGCAAACATGACGGAACGTGGAGCGATACAAATCTTTACTGCAGACGTAAGCAATAATTTGGCTGCTGCACAAAATGCCAAGTCAGACGTGATACTAATGTGCGATAAGTAGTTTTTTGGTATAGTAAGATGGTTGGTTGATGTGTTAATATTTTGATCATTCAAAAAAAATTCACTGGTTTCCGTCTTAATTTGTAGCTGAATGTGGGCCTCCCCCAAAAATACCACGATCCACCATAACCGCCGGAAATTGGACGGAGGGGTCCACGTTGACGTACTGGTGTGATGAGAGAACGGTGACAGAGGGAAATCCCTCGATCACGTGTCAGAATAACGGCCTCTGGTCCGATACCAATTTATACTGCAGACGTAAGAATACAAAATAACTTTTTTTATGTATTATTTTACTCAACTGATTAGATTGCCCAAAACATAGAGGAAATATAAAGTAGTTCCTTTAATCAATAAAAATATTTCGATGACATTTCAATAATTTTTTGCGTTGTGCAGCTGATTGTGGTGTTCCAAAACTCATTCATCGTGCGATCCTGTCAGAAGGCGATACATTAGAGGGGATAACTCGCACTTATACATGTATATCTAATACTGTCGCTGAGGGCAAAACGACGATAGTCTGCCAAAAAGATGGACAATGGTCTTCAACAAACTTGTATTGCAGACGTAAGTCAAGTCCAAATCAGGACAAATGGTTATTTTAATAAAATTATTGTCACAACTTTGATTATGTCATAAATAACAATGAAAAAATGAGATTATCTGATGATGATTTCAGCAAACTGCGGTGCACCTCCAGTGGTGGAGAGAGCTGTTGTGGATATGGAAGGTTCTACACTTGAGGGTGCCATAAGATATTATGCGTGTATCGGAGGCTCTGTGCTGGAGGGCGAAAACAGCATCACGTGTGGGCAAGATGGACGCTGGTCTGACGTCAGAGTCTACTGCCGACGTAAGTTACATGTATATGAAAGGAACTAAGCATGTATGTGAATCCATTTGAATAAAAAAAAAAAATTTAAAATTTCTTCTGAGGATGACACAGAAGAATTCTACATACGAAATTCTTAAAATGAATTAAATGACAAAAAATATTCAAATACCTGTATATAATCAAATAAATTAACATGAATTATTCAGCTAATTGCAACCAACCCCCGCCGTTACTCCACGCCACTGTCGATACCAGTACCGGTACTTTGGAAGGCAGCATTGCTGTCTATAGTTGTGATCGTAACACGGTTCAAGAAGGCTTTGGAGAAACTGTTTGTCAAAAGGATGGAACTTGGTCAAAAGTTGACATTTACTGCAGACGTAAGTTCATTTCAATTTTAAGTGTCATTCTGTAACCAATCGCACATTTTTATATGTATTTAGAAAGGTTTAGATATTTACAGTATTTTATAGGAAGAACTACGCACGCTAACTCTCGATTCCCGCCTACATTTTACACTCATTTAATTCAATACTAATGGCAATTTGACCGTAAAATCTTTATTGAATGCGAAGAAGTTCAATTTAAATTTAATACCAGTGTTAAATAGTTAATTACCCCTAATTCCAGCACTTTAAATAAGGGGTGGGAGTGGGGGGTAGACGATATTTTTCATTGAAATTGGGCTTTAAAGCATCGCCACATTTTAAAATATTCTTGGATATGAATAAATATTACTTTAATCTTTTCTTATGTTTTACTCATATATAATTAAACATATATTATCAATAAAATACAATATTTTAGTTGTAAACCCCTTTGGAATTTGTGAAAAAAGTAAGCATTTTTGTAGTTTTTTTGTCTGTAATCATATGTTTCCCCCATGAAACATAAACAGCTTTGGTATGAATTTGTGAAATGACAGTCCATATTATCTGTAAAAAGGAATTTTTGTTTCACGGGGGGGGGGGGGGGGGATGTTTTAAAAATATTTTTCGTTTTCCGTTGATTTCTATAGTGAAAAACACAAGTTTCGCCAAAATTATAGAGTTATCTTTGTTTTCCCCAAAAAGTAATGTTTTATGAAAATTCATATAAATATTTATATAGATATGATTAATCATTCAAATGTGATAACTTTTGAAAATTGACTTGGAGGTAGGAGTGAGAACAATACTATCGATCGCAGTTCTTTAAATAAGAGAACAGGAAATACCTAACTTAAAGAAATTAAGAAGATTTTTTTTTGTTCTATGTAGCTGACTGTGGTCCACCACCGGTGATAGCTAGAGCCACACTACAGGAAGGCTTTAACACTGAGGGGTCTGTACGCTATTATGTCTGTGACAAAAATTCTGTAAAAGAAGGAATAGGAGAAACTGTCTGTCAGTCAGACGGAACTTGGACTCCAGCCAATGTGTATTGCAGACGTGAGTAACACATGTCTAGAGAACTGAGAAAACTTCCTTTGAATACTATAATTCTTCAAATTATTCAGAACGTACCTTTGCATGTGATTTGAATAGACCTACTTGTGTCCTTTCTGTATGGTACCATGAATTGTGCAATGAAATGTGCCTGTACATGTCATTCATTGGAATGGATCATTTTTACATTACAGTATTGCATCTTTTCCAACTTGTACACTGTTAAATTTATATTTTCCAGCTGATTGCGGTATGCCTCCACGACTCCCTAATGCATTTATCGAGACACCTGGGGGACCAACGACTGAAGGATCGGAAATTGTGTATGGATGTATAGAGAATCACGTGGCTGAGGGCGATCCGTCCGTTTTCTGCAAGAAAGATGGATTATGGACAGATTCATCTCTATACTGCAGGCGTATGTTGCTTTTTATCAATAGATGTTTATTTACATTTGTCACATTGTGCGTAAGATTGGATGATTTTTTCAAAGAAAGTGTTGGAACAGATTTTGATGTATTTAAAATATACAAACGTAGTTTAGTATTATACTGTGTATATCATCAAAAGAAATATCAATAGATAACTTTTTAAAATACCGAAATTCTTTTATGTGTTTTATGTATCGTGGTTTTGATATTTTGTTTGATCGACAATAAAATTTTCTTGAAGCTGATTGTGGTTTGCCAGCATTGCCCCCACGAGTCCTTCCGCTACCTGACGACGCATATACATTAGAGGGTGCTGTAATAACAATGGTCTGTGATGATGACAATGTTCCCGAAGGAGATAATACCTTAAAGTGTGGTTCTGACGGGCGATGGTCGGTTTCAAACTTTTATTGCAGACGTAAGCATTCAAGTTTTTATATTTTAAAAACATTTAAATAGGTAAGTATCTAAAATGGAATAACTTTAAATTAAACCATGAATTAGTACTTAAATAAAAAATTAAAATTTCAGCGGATTGTGGACCACCTCCAAAAATACCACGAACAACTATCAAGGGACTGGAAGGGGGTACACTAGAAGGCACCACTATAATGTATATTTGTGATGATAATACTGACCCCTCTGGAACCCCAACAAGTGTGTGTGGCGATGACGGACTTTGGTCACAAGTCACTATTAAATGCACTCGTAAGTTAAGCAAACGTCACTACTAATTGTAAAAAAAAAAAACAAACAAACGACCCCCCCCCCCGCAAAAAAACAAACAAATAACCAAGATCGAACATAAAGTTGAAAACATATAAATAAAACTAAGCGAAAAATTCTTTAATCATTTCAGCAAATTGTGGAACCCCAAGTAACATCCCTAGAGCTGTAATAAGGGACGGACCAACAAGCGAAGGAGCAGTAAGAGTTTATGATTGTAAATCCGGGACAGTAGCCGAGGGAGATAACACAATCACGTGTCAGAGTAATGGCCTCTGGACCAGGTCGGAGCTTTACTGTAGACGTAAGTCTCTGATTAGTCTATGTACTTACCTTTTACCCTTTCTCTTTCTGGGACTGAAGAATAAAAGAATTTAAAATAAATTTCTTAATATGACATATTTTATTTTTACGCAAAGCGGATTGTGGTCAACCGCGCCTGATTGAGCGAGCAACAATCTCTCCTGGGGGAACGCTGGAAGGTAGCGTTCGTACCTACACTTGTGATGCTAATTCGCAAGCAGAGGGAGATACTGTCACAACATGCAGGAAAGACGGAACTTGGACAACAGTTAACCTTTACTGTCGACGTAAGCGCTGACATTATCAACCTTTCAACGGTTTAAGTTTGCTTCAAAAGTCTAAGTAAACATTTGATTGATGCTGAGCACATTATCATTGTAAGTTGCATTTGTTAACAGCTGACTGTGGGAAGCCCCCTCCTATCGCCAGAGCTACAGTTCGGCCTGGTGACACTACTGAGGGATCAGTAAGGACGTACATCTGTGATGCGGACACCAAGGCAACAGGGGATCCCACCATCACCTGTCAAAAGAATGGACAGTGGACAATATCTACACTCAACTGTGAGAGTAAGTAGTTAAATAACAATGCTGCACTGCATAGTACCAATTAGAAGACGTACAAATCTTTTTTGATCATGAAGGAACTGTAATGCGATTTACCAAGTATTATTTTAATGTAAATTATATTTTTCAGTATCTGTTGTCGTACCGCCTGATCCCGATTTACCTCCTGGAGAAGGTAGTTTATACTCTTAAACTTATCAGATACTTGTAACTGAAAATTAAATTTTCAACATTTTGAAAAGATTGTATTAGTTGACACCCTTCAGTAAAAGTTATAACTATTCAAAATTCAATTAATTTGAATTAAAGTCTTTTTGTAATGTAAACTAATCCTCAAAAGGTAGTTGATTTTCCAAGATGTATCTTATTTTTCAGATATCTGCGATAAATGTTTAATGAGAAATGGAGTTGGTTTTATTGCTCATCCAGAACATTGTTATAAGTTTGTCCAGTGCTATTTTGGTCCGAAAGGGGAAATCCGTTCAGCTATCAGAAGCTGCCCATATGGACAATACTGGGATCAGAAAGCTTTAACTTGCAAACTGGCCAAACAAGTAACTTGCAATAAAGGTAGTTTACTCATTTTTAGCACCTGAACTATTTATGATTACAGGAATTATTATTAGAAACTGACTGTTAAGACTAACATTTAAGTAAATGTTCATTGTCTTCAATTTGTATTAACTTAAAAATCATATGCAATGCTACAGTTCATTTTGTTATATCTTCCTTTTTTCACAGAAAAATGTAAACTACCAGCTTTGAAATCCTACGCAATGCAACACGTAAAAAATTGTCGTGCGTACTGGAAATGCATCTTAGGAAAATCCTACGGCATGTGCTGCCCAGAAGGAAAACGATATAAACCTTATGTAGGATGTATCACAGACTCCTCGTGCACGGATGCCTGCCCACCGCTTTCAGGAGGGCTGGGTGCTTGCGATTCACGTATGATATTTGGTAACCCTGCTTATTTTGAGCAGTATGTGCCTGGTCATAATTGGCAAAAGATGCCATGTCCTCTAGGAACATCGTATAATGCCGCCGACTGTGGCTGTACTACCCACACTGAAACCCAAACCCAGGATAAAGGTTGGCTTGCATTTTTATTATTAGAGATATATTAATTTTCAAGACAATCTCGAGAATTAATGTACCTATTAATACCTCAGTAAATTTTGTTACAGCTTTAGCGCTAGAATTTTGATCGTCATTATGTTGTTTTCTCTTTCACAGTCTGCCGCCCAGAAGTATACCTACCGTTTGATACGGACACCGATGACAAATCCGGAAATGGTGTATATATACAAAACAATAATGTTTCAGTCGTTCAGGGCGTAGCTTATTTCAATGGAGAGGCAGAGCTAGTTATACCCAGATTTTCGAATTTTGACTACAAAGAACTTGTCATAGCCTTCACTTTCTTGGAAACGCCACCATCCCAAGAAGTGACAGCTTTAGTCAGCAATAGTGACTGCTGTTCCTCGACTCCGACATTGGCGATGGTGAAAAGTTACAAAAGTGTACACTTCTTAGCCAAATGTAGCGGAGGAGTAGTTTCAACATTTAGATTACCAGTTCATGTAAGATTGTTTTACGAATGTAACAGAATTATGGTCAGTAAGAAATTATTTTACAGACATGATGTTTGTCCCAGGCAAATCAATATTCTGACTCTTTTTTATTCTCTTCCAGCTAGGGAATTGGAATAAAGTATTTTATATTCATGACACCGAGAAACTAGAGGGGCGTTGTAATGGCATAGATTATTCAAAATGGGCTATTGGTAAGTATAAAATGGATTGAAAACGATTAAATGTTTAAGAGTTTAAGATGTATGATACTTTAGAGTTTCAGCCAGATTTGTTCTTTTTTACTTAATTCACGAATGTTAAAAAGACGGAATTAATTTATTTTAAAGATCGTAATTTTTTTAATACGATATCTTTTCACAGTGTTTATAATTATTTTAAACAAATACTTGGAATTTATAGGACCAATACAGTCAACACATACAGCAATACATATAGGCTATGGAAGAGGCTTTAAGAATTTTAAAGGATATATGGACGACGTAAGTTAAATATTTCCCTTGTTGAAACTACCTTTGTTATGTTTCCCCCATGGTTACTGAGAATTGACGTTATGCATGGCTGTAAATATTCCATTTATTTAAATCCAAAATAATATTAGTTCTATTGAATTTAAAAAATGCAAAAGTTCTTTTAAATGTGAAAAAAAAAATTGTAAAAAGTTCTTGAAAATCAGACTAATGTTTATTTTTTCTTTTACAGGTGACTATTTTCTTGTGCAAACCAAGATATTTATAAAATGTTTAATAATCCAAAATGATGAAATCCATCCCAAGTGTATAAATTTTTTTTTTGAAAAAAAAACCAAGAACCGAATCATTCTACGTATACATTGTCTACCGGTGTGTACATGCATGTAACTTTATGAGAGACTTTTTAAGCTGTGCAATACTTCAGGAGAGTACCTGTCTCGTTCTTTGGAGTATAGAAATATTCATGATTATATGTAGAAGTATACCTTAAATTCTTCGTTGAAATCCATTATGTTTTACATAAAATATATACAAATTGAATTTAGCACTTTTGTTTTTTCCCTTATCTTGAAACATGTACAAGCTACATGTACAACTGTATGAATATATGTATTACTAGCTTTCTGTAACACATATTCAAAACTATTTTTTAGGGTAAAATCTTGAATCAAATTGAACGAAGAAGAAACATTGCTTTAGAAAGATGTTCAACAATGCTTTTCGTTTTTCTGTTTTTATTTGGATTTTATATTTAAAAACAATGATTGTGACGTCAACTTCATCTTTTTTGACGTCCTCTGTTTTTCGTATCAAATTAGCATAAAACATACTAGTATATTAAACAGAATCGGAAATGTTTTCCGTGGCAGACCAACATTTCGAAAAACATTTTAATTTATTCTTTAGATTTCTTTAGTTTATAATTTTAGAATAGCTATTTTTAAGACACTGGGCCTTATATATTTCACCAGAAGACATTTACAAAATTATTTTGTTAAAAAGCACTCTGATTGTATACATAAGTACTCTGAAGTTGATATTAAAAAGATGCTTGAGTTTCTGATTGACAATATCTATGTAGTTTTTGGAGATCAGGTCTTACAACAATCTGTTGGAATTCCCATGGGTACCAATTGCGCCTCCTTATAAGCAGACCTATTTTTGTATGCATATGAAGCAGAATTTATTCAAAAACTTCTACATGAGAAGAAGAAAATACCTGCTGTGGCCTTCAACTCGACATTTCGATATATCGACGACGTATTATCAATTATAAATAGTTACTTTCATTCATATGTCGATTCGATATATCCCAGTGAGCTTGAAATAAAAGATACCACAGATTCTGAGACATCTCTTTCATATTTAGATATTTTACAAAAAAAAAGACGTTAATGGTAACCTAACAACAAAGCTTTATGATTAACTTGATGACTTATAACTTTTCAATCGTCAACTTCCCTTACTTATGTAGCAATATACCCTTATCACCTGCATATGGGGTTTATGTCTCTCAGTTTATTCGATACGCAAGAAGAGCATGTTCTACGTATGAACAATTTCTAAAACGAGGCAAGCTATTGACAAACAAGTTGACAAAACAAGGATATCAACAGTCTCGTTTAAAGTCCTCTTTTTTGCAAGTTTTTCGGTCGATACAATGATCTCGTCAGCACATACAACCTATCATTGAGTCAAATGCTGACTGACGTTTTTCAAACTATTTGTTAGGCCATTATTTATACATTGAACTTTGTACGGATTTTTCCGGTTTTTATTTTCCCGATCATGACAAGGAGCACACGGCCGGTGTGACCGGTCGACGGGGGTTGCTCACTCCTCCATGGCACCTGATCCTACCTCTAAATTTTGAGGTCCGTGTTTGCCCTGCTCCAAATTTATATCGTTTCATTGGACTTTCTTCATATTTCATTTTAAGATATAATAATTTTAGGTGAGTTTTGCAAATGGATTATAAAGAGGAATATTTGTTGTGCAAATACTGACCATTCATAGCACAACATACATACATGTACTTCAGAATCCATTGATTGTATTTTTCGCTTCTGGTAAATACTTCATTTTCTCCTAAATCAATATCCCATAGTGCATTGTCTTAAGAATAGACAGTCCTGTCATCTTGACAGCAGCTTCAAAGCTTTAAGGACATACACAACATAGTATTAAACATTATTTTCTTATTTCATTTGTAATTTAAAAGGTTCTTTTAATTGAAGGACCTCTGTGCAATTTATGGTGCCTGGTAATGCCGTATACCTCCTCTGAATAAAATTCTGAGGAAATACCAGCTAAACTATACTTTTATTAAAGTTTCTTTAAAAAAAGGATTTTCATCATTTGATATTTGTTCAAAACTCCTGGTAATGTATGCTGCAAAAAATCATTCATGCCATTAATAATAATAATAATAATTATCATCATCAATTTTTTGTAAACATAAAAAAACAGTATCATGTGAGAGTACCATGGTATGAAATAAAAAAATTATTTACCTGCATCTGACACTCAGTTCTAAATTGTGCTTTCTTGCTCAGTCGGTAGAGTGCTCACTCCTTGATCGAAAGGTCGTGTGTTCGAATCACGGCCGCGACTGACCTAAGTCGATAAAAACTAGGTAGCAACTGTTCCTTCACCAAGCGCTCGGCACTTTGAAGTGAAAGTTGCTGGTCATTCGGATGAGACCTTTAAAACCGAGGCCCCGTGTCACGGTAGGAGTTGGCACGATAAAGAACCCTCACTGCTCAATGGCCCTGAGTGCTGAGTAAAGGTTAGCAGAAAATAACCATCGAAGGAAGGATGAGACAGAGGCAAGTTAAATGAAGTGAACAAATGGATAATGTTTTGCAGAGAAGAATAAAGAGAATGAATGAAAAGATAATATATAGTACACATGTTAAAAGTCTTATTTTGTAACTACATATATAAAATATACAAGAATCAAAAAGATGATTTATACAATAATTAAGAAAAAATAATAATATACAAAAATCAAAAAGATGATTTATACAATAATTAAGAAAAAATAATAATATACTCTTGTTTTTTTTGATCATTTAAGATATTTTCAACTATCATCTTATGTCAATTTTCAAAGATTTTTTAAAGTTATCATACACCGTACTTTTGATATGAAGGGAGACAAAGGATCAAAAGAAAAAAAATCTGTACACCATAGAGAATCTAAATACATAATTGAAGATACTATGTTTTTCAGTTTTAAGATCAGTTTTAATATCTTCAGTCATAATTTTGGTACTTAAAATGTACTTTAACTGTCTTTCTTTTTTGATCATTTTGAAATATTTAGGATTATGAACATATATAGCAATTGAAACTCTTTCGAACATGTTCTGATTTAAATTGTGCATAGCAGTATGTTTTTAAGAAACCTGAATATAGAAAATTATATTGGAATTTTCATTGGCACTAATTGTGTTCCTTTATTAGTAGACGTTCTGTACTCTCTGGAATTTTTTTCAAAACGTCTACATGAAAATGAGGAATCTCTTGCTATGGCCTTTAGTTAGACATTTAGATATATCGAGGACGTTTAGATTTTATCATATATATTAATTTCATTTTCATTCTAACGTTGACTCGATATATTCCATTGATTTCGAAATAAAAGACTCCACGAAGTCTATCACATCTGTTTTTTTTCTTTGGATGTTTTACTAGTCTAAGAGAAAGATATTGATGGCAAACTGACAAACTTGATGATTAAAGTGACGACTTAAACTTTTCTTTCGTCACCTTTCCTTATTTATGAAGCAATATGCATGTACCATTATCACCTGCATATGGTGTTTATGCCTCACAGTTTATTCAATATGCACGAGCATGTTCTAGGTAGGAACAATAATTTAACCAAGGCAGACTTCTGAAAAATGAGTTGATTATACAAAAGTTTCAGTAGCCTTGTTTAAAGTCAACACTTCGGAAATGCTATAGTCAATATAATGACCTTGTTTGCAAATACAATCTGTTTTTGGTATTAAGCTGACTGACGTTTTTCAACCAAATTGTTAGGTTATTATTTTCATACTTTTCTCCGTTCACTCGATCATTACAAAGAGGAAGATCCACGGGAATGCTTACTTCTCCATAGCACATGATCACACCTATAATGTTCTTAGAGGTCTGTCTTTTCTCTGGTCTCAGTTTGTATTGACTAATAGCACTTTTGAACAAAATTTTCACATTTCGCCTTTTATATATATATTCAACTTCTCCATTTGCTACCTTATTCCTGCTACTCTTAAACGCCTGTGGTTTTACTTTTTCTTGTTTGAATTATGGCTCTTTATGCATTTCCAACTTACAATTTATTACCTGTTAATTAAGGTGATGAAAAAAGATAAAGGTAACAAACAGTGATCAATCTCATAAATACAGTAGACAAAACGAATCGTGAACAATGCAAACCTCCTAGGAACACCAGAATTGGGATTAGGTCTTAACTTATTTATATAACACAGAACAATAAGTAATTCTTCTTCATTTAGTAACTAATTATGTCATTTTTTGGCATGGTTTAACTTGCCACATTTATCGATGATTCATGCTTTTCTTAGACAATTTTACATAATATAATTTGTTTCGCATGTCTCAATGTCATCAGTAAGAATATTGTGTAAAAAATGCTTTATTTTATTTGATGCCTATTTTTTTTCTATATAATGTTATTCATATGTATGTAATATAAAGTGGGTTTCTTGGAATATAACAATGCTTTTGAAAAGGAGACCTTATTATTTTTAACTTCTTTGAGAAATAATATTTATCTTCAAATTCAAATATGAGGCACAAAATGTAAGCAATGGGTGTTTAGGTCTTGAGGGTATTGTAAAACACCAGTAAGATTAAATGATATTAATTCAATAGAAGATTACGCCAGACGATGGGCCAAATATGAAAAAGAAGACCTTGACACTTTATCAGAATGGATTAAATGTATCAGTTGGATGTTGAAATCGCGCATTAAGCGATTAAGGGGCAATATGAAAAACATCTATCCTTTTGTATTCGACAATGCAGAAGTGAAAGATTACACGATCAGCATGTACTGGTCCCCGCTAACAAAGCAGTTAACAACATTGTCTTTCTTTGTAAGGCTCATTATTTGAATTGTATTTTCGAGGAACTAGGATTTAATTCTGCAAGTGGTAATCCATTTTATACTTATAGCTCCCTTTCTAAGGAGGAAATTATTCAAAACCATATGTCAGTTTTAAATATTTTTAAAATTCCCATTAATCAAAATGAATTTGAATTACCATACCTATACTGGATTCCAAAACTCCATAAAAAATTCATACAAAGATACATAGCGGGTTCCAATAAATGTTCTACCAAGCTTCTGTCTTTACTCCTCATTAAAATATTAACAGCAGTGAAGGAGAAACTTCAGGAGTACTGCACAACAGTGTATTCGAGAAGTGGTGTAAATCAGACGTGGAAAAACTCCAAAGAACTTTTAGAAATTTTGAAATCAAAAATTTTAACAAAGTCAATAACATCAAAACATACGACTTTTCAACACTTTATACAACCATTCCCCACGATAAATTAAAGTCCGGGATTTTTGACATCATTGACAGCAGCTTTTTAATAAAAATGGAAGTCGTAAATATACTTATCTTGTCATTGGTCATTTGCAAAATTATTTTGTTCAAAACATTCTGATTGTACACATAAGTACTCTGAAGTCGATATTAAAAAGATGTTTGAGTTTCTGATTGACAATATTTATGTAGTTTTCGGAAATCCGGTCTTCGAACAATCTGTTGAAATTCCCATGGGTACCAATTGCGCCCCCGTTATTAGACCTATATCTGTATACATATAAAGCAGAATTTATTCAAAAACTTCTACATGAGAAGAAAAAACACTTGCTGTGGCCTTCAACTCGACATTTATTATTATCAATTAACAATAGTTATGTACTTCCATTCATATGTCGACACGATATATGCAGTGATCTTGAAATAAAGGATACTACAGAGGCTGACACATCTGTCCTATTTGGATATTTTACTAGAAAAGGCGTTTATGGTAACCTAACAACAAACCTTTATGGTAAATGTGATGACCTCAATTTTTCAATAGTCAACTTCCCTTACTTATGTAGCAATATACCCTTATCACCTGCATATGGGGTTTTTGTTCCCCAATTCATTCGATACGCAAGGGCATGCTCTACGTATGATCAATTTCGAAAGCGAGGGAAGCTATTGACGAACAAGCTGATGAAACAAAGATATCAACAGTCTCGTCTGAAGTCATCATTTTGCCAGTCTTATGGTCGATACAATGACCTTGTCAGCAAAGATATCAACAGTCTCGTCTGAAGTCATCATTTTGCCAGTCTTATGGTCGATACAATGACCTTGTCAGCAAATACAACTCATTAAGTCAAATGCTGACTGACGTTTTTCATACTAATTATTAGGCCATTATTTACACACTGAATTGTCTACGAATTTTTGTTTTTCCCGATCATGACAAGGAGCACTCGGAGGGTGTGACCGGTCGACAGGGAATGCTCACTCCTCCATGGCACCTGATCCCACCTCTGATGCTTTTGGAGGTCGGTGTTAGCTCTGCTCCCTATTTATATTGTTTAAATGGACTTTGAGCCTAAATACTACTTGTTATCTCCATATTTCATTAAAAAAGTCTTCTATATAACTCGTATAATGTTTCCTCTCTGAAATACTTAGTACAACAAGCAATACAAATTTATTTAGTTAAAATAAAGTACAGTTTACAAACAAATCTGACATGTTTTCAGATTATTCCTCTCGATCGTCAACATAACCATTTGCACTCTAGTAGATGTTCTAGTCTGCCAGCATACTTACTCCACAAAAGATCTTTAGCTTTTATGGAGAATGTAAAGGGATCAAAAACTTTCATTAGAAAAATGGCAAAAAATGTATGTCAAAGAAAAGCAAGTTTTATTTTGCTTTGTTTTGTTTGCATTATAGAAAATATCTAAATTGTTCTGGTAATAATAATGAAATTTATCTCGATTAATTAGTTTTTTTCCAAACCTCAACGGTATGAATTGACTGTATTGAACACGTCGACCACTTATGATGTCAGTGTGAAATTATGACTTAACAGTGTGACTTGTGATCATGTGACTAACCTATAATTATAATACGATGTATCTTAAATTATCATTGTTAAAAAATGCTATATTAGAGAAACATTTGCAAAGCTAAATATTTGTAGATAAAGTACTATCGTAAAGTGTATTCTTCACTTAATCTTACTTGTCTCTCACATTTATATAAGAATATCAGTCATGCATTGAAACAAAATATACGCTTTCCTAACTTTTTAAGTGCTTTTCAACTGCAATTAAATAAAGATTTATGTATTACATATACGATATATATCACATTTAGACACGATTTATCCATGTTATTTATGATCACTTTTATAGATAATTTATTATCTACATTCCCTAGAAATTCAAAATGAATCAAAGAATACCTTATGTAATATATATGTAGTGAGTAATTACTCACTACAATTATTACAATTAGACAATTATTTTTTATGGCATATCAGCAATTCATTAAATACACTGTAATAATAATGTTAAGCTGTAAAAGACTATGAGAGAGATCAGATTGGCATGAAGAAATCAATTCGTAAAATTCTATGATGATTTTTCTATATATGCTTGACTATACCAATTAATGGTAATTTTGAACATAAATCTCTTCTAAATATGATACCACACCTATTTTTATGTTTTTATATGAACAGCTTAAGAATGATTGCCACATGCATCCATACATGTAAGTAAAATCACAGTTTAAAATGTCAGGAATTCTTTATTTTAGTAAACATCACACAAGGACAAGTGCACCAGAAAGGATAGGTGGAGTTTTCTGCATAGTTAATGCACATACATATATTTATTCCATTTTTTGTCATATATGTTCTTATTTTAGTTTTGAATTCAAATAATCTGTTTTTCTTTTTGTAACATTTGACGTTATTGGTTTAATAAAACGTTAGTTATTATACAAAACGTGATAATGATAAATTAGCTCCTGTTTGAAATTTGCTGGGTAATCCTTGTAATACGCAAAACTAAAAAAAAAAATTGGTGTGACATCACAAACTTTAACAATTTTGATTTTTTTTTTTGTATTTTTAAACTTTAAATGGCTCAAATAATTCTAGAAATATTAGGAACATGCATAATTTATAGAAAATATTTTAAGAATATTATGGAATCCATTGCAAGTATTTTTGGAGCAGTCTTCGACTCTTGTATTGTTGCATTGTAGTCTGTGTGACAGCACTTAAAACACAAAGGGATTAAGAAGTTTATTTTATTGTTCTTAAAATACACAAATAAGATCTATATAACGACCACGTGCATACTATATGTAAAACATTCTCATTGAGTAGTAATGCATAGCACTATTCGTTTGACTGTACATGTAAAATTGATAATAAATCCTTTCTCCTTTTCTCTCTTGAAATTCATTTAGCTGTCATATCAAATAATTCTGTTAGAAAAGAATTTGCCGCACATTTATAAAATATCGATTATAAGGAATCGGGTCGCAAGAGCGAAAAATAGTGTCGATATGTGCTTCAGTGCGTTACCCATTTATACATTTTAATGATAAATGGGATCTAAACTCTATTAATCTAAATACAATGTATTATGTTTTTATGTGACATTTCAACCCTGATTTTTAACAGACTGAGACGAAGTAAATTTATAAATGTATCGTCTAGTAAAGGAATGTTACTGTTTGATTATATTATTCTTGTGTTTCAAATTTAAACATGGACAAAATTTGACAGCAGATGGTAAGTATATATAGATTTTTGACATATTGTATCATTACATTTGTCAGCAATTGTTCCACATCCAAAGAAATCTGGTAATTGATTTCAATTTCAAACACTCTGAGGCAATATAAGAAATTACATTTATCAGTAAGAATTATTTTCGTAAAAGAAATAATTGCTGTTTATGTCTGGTGGAAAATGCTTCATAGATACACCATCTTCATGCTTGATGATATGTATCAAAGTGTTATTGATAGAAAAGAGCAACAAATGAAGTATCTAATGTCGTTGTAAAAGTGATTTTGAAATTAAAAATAATTTGAAATCTAGCTCATACGGCGGGAGTAAACAAAAGGCAGATAAAACTTTGTACCTATTCACATTATTTTGATGATTTCAGATTGTGAAGACTTGGAGAAAGGAGCGTGTTTTCTTGTCTTGGACCGACCCTATCTTTGTTATCGACCCAACAACCAAATCAAATGTTGTTCGACTTGCAGGCACTTTTTCACAAATATAGAAGGTGATTTTTCAAAAAAAATATCTTTCTTATGCTTTTGTATGTTTGGATATTTAGATTCATTTATATTCCTTTCTGCTATAAAAATCAATTTGTCACAAGATCATAGCTTGAACTTTGAAATCAAGATATAATCCAGTATGTTTATCACATAAGTACAGTTATTGTCTCATATAATACAGGTTGTGAATATGGAAATCGGAGAAAGGTTTGCGATAAAAGATTTTGTCCAAAAGATGACAGAATAGATCGTTTCTGTTGTTGGACTTGTGGAGGCTATACAACAACAACGACAACCACCACCACCACAACAACAGAACAACCCACGACAACATTATCTGAACAAACAACAACAGAGCAACCTACGACAACATCAACTGAACAAACAACACTTAGAACAATCAACATTCATACTCCTATCCGGTATTGGAAACGTGCCAGAGATACCATTTACTCGAGATATCGTCTGAATGCTGTATGGAATGCTCTTAAAAGGACGTTTTTCCTTGATATTGACGATGAAAAGAATTAATTTGAATGAGCATAATGGATTACTAGTGTTTTTGATAACTTGATTTATGGTAATGATATAAAAAATGTGACGAGAATATTTGTTTCCAGGTGAAAACAGTTTACTAAGAAAGCAAGTGGTTGTTTGTTCATCAATTGTTGGTGATAAGACAATACTTTTATAATGTCAACCAATGAATATTTTTCATAGAGCTCTTGAAAAGGTTAAGTATAGGTCGCCTTTCTTCCAATCAGACTGAAGTATTTCTTAAAAATACATTGTATATTGAATTTTTCTTTTGGGGGGGGGGGGAACAAGCCAAATTCACCTTTTGTAGTAACACATTATTTATGTATTAGGATGATCATTAGAATCTTTTTTTTTAAATTACTCATTCTGACGTATATTTTAATGTTATGTTTTAATAAAAATTTTCTTCATAAGATGAGACTGCACGGGTAGGTTTCTTGAATGTTTACTGAAAGATCTAAAAAAAGGCGGCTGAATGCCAGAACTCTGCCATTAAGTCACCTTTCAGTAAACTTCAGTCACCTTTCAATCAACTGATTGATATAAGTTTATCATGTGCCTATTTGTAATATCTTTACTAATTCTGAAAATTTTGAACCTGTTTACAGGTTTTATATGATTTCCTTGAATGTTGTAGTGCTAGTTTTCTACGTGGATTGAATAAAAAATATTCTGAAAACAATTTTCTTTATTCTTTTGTTAGTAGTATACTTACGTATTATATCTTTCAATTCATTACTAGGTTCTTTTGTTTTAGATTTTTTTTTCAACAGGTTTTTCTCTGAAACTTCGAAACCATTATTTTCCAAATCTGGAATTCGAATACTTTAGGAATATAAACCCCTTTCACCCGTCCTCAGCCCTTATTTTTAGGATTGGTCAAAAACAATTCCAAATATTGGTTATACCTTATGGTTCTATAAACAATGAGTTTTACATATGTAAACTTAGAATCTGTCTCATGCCATACAATGTGTTCCTGCCCTTAAACATTCATTTTGCTCTTCACTGAGGACATTATATCAAATACGTTGCGAACTTTTGAAGGACGTCTATATATAATATATATTAAGTAAATTTTCAAGACACTCACTTATGAGGATGGTCACTGTTCGTTATTTTCAAATTCCATTTGTCACATAAATGCAAATTAAAATTTTGTGAAGTTTTCTATGGTCTTACAAGGTGCTTAGAAGATATAGGATAAAAAGTAGAATATCTACTATTGAAGCAATATAACGTGTCGCCCCGAACACTGCAATAATTGAGTTGAAAGCAGAGTGAACAAGTACACACAAAATTGACAGAGTGTTTCTCTACAATGTCAATTTACAATGGTCACGTGACAGCACTTTTTTTTTTTATATATTAAATTCAATTCTTTCTATTGCTGCAGTGACAAACTGCATCCAACCAATTCCATTTTTTGCAGAAAGTACTTTGACACGATGCAAGGAATGAAATAATGAGATTACGAATAGTATTCAAGCTCAAAGTCCATTTAAACAATAAAAATCGGGAGGAGAGCAAACACGGACCTCCAGAAATATCAGAGGTGGGATCAGGTGCCATGGAGGAGTGAGCATCCCCTGCCGACCGGTCACAACCGTCGTGTGCTCCTTGTCATGATCGGGAAAAATGGAAAAATCCGTTGTCAATTCAGTGTGTAAATAATGGCCTAACAATTAGTATGAAAAACGTCAGTCAGCATTTGACTTACAGATATGTTGTTTTAACTGACAAGGTCATTGTATCGACCATAAAACTTGGAAAATGACGATTTCAAACGATACTTTTGATATCCTTATTTCAACTTGTTTGTCAATAGGAATATCCTTTAAATTTCAAAAAAGATTGTCGGAAAGTTACTACGAAACTATAAATTGAAAATATTTCGTCTGTTTCTATGAAAAAGATGGTTATGTTGGAAAATGTAAATGTGGAAAGTGCAATTGAAGTTGGTGATTATAAATTCTGAAAATATCATTAAAATATTAAAATCATCTATGCAATCCGGGAGAACATGCGCGGAAAACAAGAGGCCCAAGGGCCTTAACGGTCACCTGAGTATAATACAACAATTTAGAAGATCCATAGAGTATGAAATGAACTGAAAGGTGAAGCTTTGTTGCCCAAAAACAAGAAAAATAGGGTGATCAGGATCAACAAAATAATAAGTTTAGTATTCATTAACAGTTCATAAATTAGGTTCTAGTCTGTTCCCCATTTATCACTCTCACCAGACAGTATAAAACAAAATATCAGTGCTTCTGTACTCTTTTATTTCCTTGTTGAAATTGTTGCATTGTAACATTGGCTTCTCTTGGTCTTTGATAAACATTTAATAAAACAAGTTATTTTTGTCTCATTTTTATTTATCTATTACTTACAAGTCTACCTGATCATTAAAACTATGAAAGTACTTTTTGTATTATACAATAAAAATTCTTGCATAATTCTCTTATTCTATTAACCTTTCAAGTACATTATATACAGTGATTAATTATCACACCTAAATGGCAAAGGGGAATAAATCCTCTCAGTAGAATACAAATTAATAGAGCCCTGGCCTGGATCAGAACACTTGACCAAATGGTCCTGATCATGTTCAAAAATCTGGTAAAAATACCCTTCCTTATTGAAACTTTTACTCTTTTTTGCCTCTGATATGCCCAGGTGCAGAGAAGATTTTTAAAGCATTTTCGATATATAATAAATAGAGCCCCGCCCTAACATCAGAACCTCTGATCCTGGGGTCATGAAATTCACAATTTTGGTAGAGTCACCCTTGCTTATCATAATCATGTATTTGTTTAAATAATAACCATGAGTAGAGAAGAAGATTTTCAAAGAAATAATGCACTTTCACTATATGATCTATATAGCCCCACCCTAGCACCAGTACCCCTGACCCTGGGGTCATGAATTTCACAATTTTGGTAGAGTCACCCTTGCTTATCATAATCATGTATTTGTTTAAATAATAACCATGAGTAGAGAAGAAGATTTTCAAAGAAATAATGCACTTTCACTATATGATCTATATAGCCCCACCCTAGCACCAGTACCCCTGACCCTGGGGTCATGAATTTCACAATTTTGGTAGAGTCACCCTTGCTTATCATAACTATGTATTTACTTTGTTTCAATTATATCCAGGAGTAGGGAAGAAGATTTTCAAAGAAATAATGCACTTTCACTATATGATCTATATAGTCCTGCCCTAGCACCAAAACCCCTGACCCTGGGGTCATGAATTTCACAATTTTTGGTAGAGTCACTCTTGCTTATCATAACTATGTATTCAATTTGTTTCAATAATACCCAGGAGTAGAGAAGAAGATTTTCAAAGAAATAATGCACTTTCACTATATGATCTATGTAGACCCACGCTAGCACCAGAACCCCTGACCCTGGGGTCATGAATTTCACAATTTTGGTAGAGTCACCCTTGCTTATCATAACTATGTATTCAATTTGTTTCAATAATACCCAGGAGTAGAGAAGAATCGAAGATTTTCAAAGAAATAATGCACTTTCACTATATGATCTATATAGCCCCACCCTGGCACCAGAACCCCTGACCCTGGGGTCATGAATTTCACAATTTCGGTAGAGTCACCCTTGCTTATCATACCTATGTATTCAATTTGTTTCAATAATACCCAGGAATAGAGAAGTAGATTTTCAAAGAAATAATGCACTTTCAGTATATGTTCTATATAGCCCCACCCACCAAAACCCCTGACCCTGGGGTAATGAACTTCACAATTTTGGTAGAGTCACTCTAGCTTATTATAGCTATGTATTCAATTTGTTTCAATAATACCCAGGAGTAGAGAAGAAGATTTTCAAAGAAATAATGCACTTTCACTATATGATCTATATAGCCCCGCCCTAGCACCAGAACCCCTGACCCTGGGGCCATGAACTTCACAATTTTGGTAGAGGGCTCAATGCTTATTACAATCATGCCAACAGTTTGACTGCTTGATGTCCAGGAGTAAAGAAGAAGATTTTTAAAGATTGCATTAATTTTGATGGTTTTGGCCCCACCCCTCAGGCCCCAGGGGGGCAGGGGCCACGAATTTCACAATTTTTGTTCCCCTTCACCCATAGATGCTATATGCCAAAATTGGTTGAAATTGATTTGCTGGTTCCAGAGAAGAAGCTGATAATGTTCAAAAGTTTACGACCGACGGACGACGCACGACGACGGACGAAAAGAGATAGCAATAGGTCACCTGAGTGACTCAGGTGACCTAAAAATACGACTTTAACAATAACAACAATAACAACATATCTCTAACTTCATTCGGGTGACATAGATTGGCCTTTTTTAAATTTAAGGATATCCGATCCTCAGCCAGGAACTCTTAAATTTATTATTTTATTTAAAAAGTATCAAAATGAAGCTTAAAATTGAGATCTTTTCGTGCAACAATTTTCATTTTATGCATCTCAATATGATTCAAGCTTAGAAACGGTCTTTTAAAAAGTTGTCATTTGTACCACATAAAAGAAAATAATAAATTGATTTTTAGAGAAATCGAATCTCCTTTAATCTAGCATTAGATACCAATGCTTATTAGCAAGATATGAAATTAGACGTGATCTGTGATTTCTAGCAATGATAACACAAGCATTTTACACTGTATCATATAACAACTGAAGTAAAGAGAAGAACTAAAATACTGTATCAGCATAAAAAGATGCAATTTTCTCCAATGCCTGGATACCTATATTTTTTTTATCCTAGAATATATTTGTTGATTAATTTTCAATTAGAAAATGCATAGCTGGTGTTTTTATTTGCATTTCCTGAAAACATATTTGAGATTTGATAATTTTCCCTATATAATATGATTAACTATAATGATGAACTTTGAAGATATGCCATGGGTAAATTCACGTTACTCTGTCAAATCAGAGACATTTTTGTGAGCATTTTAAATTACTTAAAATCTGATTTTCAGAACCTTAGGACTACCTTAAAACTAAACATTGTAGATACATAATTTTATATGTAAAATGTGAAATGATATCGAAAAAGATATATATTATATATCTTTAAGATTTTGATATTATGACAATTATGATTGTTTAATGGACTTTTCCCAGAAAAATACCCCAGAATTTGACCATTGCAGCCTTTTGAATCTGAAAAGGTAACTAGGATATAAATCATATTGTCGGAAGTGAAACGTTTCCTTTTCATATAAAGATCTACTGAAACATTTCATTGCCAATAAATACTTCATCAC